TGAGATAGAATTACGCCGAATAGCTAGACATAAAAGAGATAGAATACCCAATCCATTAGTTTCTCAGCGAGCATCTCGAGAAATATATGAACCCTTACCCGTTTCAGCTCCTCAACAGCAAGGAATTTCTTTAGAAGATATGCAAAAAGCAATCCAAAACGCACTAGCACAGCAAAAAACTGAATACCAGTCTTTATTAGAAAAGCAAAAAGCTGATTACCAATCACAAATGGCCTAGCAAGCTGTCGCTCAAAAAGTACAAGCACCTGCTCCACAGATAGTAGAACCAGTTAGACAACCGAGAGGTCCCCTATTATCTTTGCAATCAGAAGAAGGTCTCAAAATTATTATGTAGCCGAATACTTAAAAGAATTAGGTTTATTAAATAAAAATGATTTAGACTCGGCTTATTCTGTAAAACCTTTTAAAGACCTCACCCTCAACGAAATGAAATTTCTGCTAGGATTGATAGAATAGAAAAAGCAATCAATGAAGATAGAGATGCAGTAAATTAATTAACTAATCAATTTTAAAAAGTATATATACGTAAATGTATTATTTGCGGAGAGACAGGCTATAGTAAAGATAGTTGCTCTAATAGACAGATAGCAAGATCTAATTTCAATCGGTCTGCTTATTTTAAGCCTCTTACACCTATAAATTTCCAAAACACACACCCAGATTTGGATAATGAGGAAGAAGGTTATGATGAAGAAAATAATAGGTAGACCGGGTATGATCCACTGGTAAAAAAAAACAGGTACCAATAGAAAATAACAAGCCTGAAACGTATAATCAGCTATTGTCTAAGCTTTCACTACTGATACGAAAAATGTGCTTGTCCCGAAAGGCTTTAGAGAAGGAGTCAAAAAAATCAGATGAGTGGTTTTCATCTTTATAGTACTTGCATTGTAATATAAATGATCTATTGATTCCTGATTCTTTCTTAGATACCGGAAGTAAATTCGGTGCAATAAATGATTCAGCAATTCACACACTTGGATGGAAGATTGATGAGCCATCTGATTTTGCTATAAAGGGCAATTCCAAACATATTACCGATTCATTAGGATAGTACACGGATGTGCTGTTTACTATAAAGAACAAAGAGGGAAAAACAGTTATAGTCATTGGAAATTTTGTATATATAGATAATGGCGAACCTGAACCAATGCTAATTTTAGGTATGTCTAATATTTGAAAGCTCCAAGGTGTTTCTGAGCCAAATAAAAACCAGTTCCGCATAAAGTTACATGGGAAGACTTATGTTATTCCAACATATAGCAAGGCCCCAGTAGTTAAAGAACCGTCAAAAGGGAAGCAGGAATCATCATCTCAGGTTTCTGCTAATTCTTCTAACCCAACTAGTGAGGACTTTAAAAAAAATGCAAAAATCTTGAAAAGCACCTCTTGAAAACTGAAAAATGGCTTGACTTGGCATTAAATGCAAGTAAAATTTTAGTAGAAAGGTGCTTTAAGCTTATAGAGAAAAGATCAGATGTGTAATAATGTTTTCAGTAATATTTAATAATTTATTAAGATTAGATTCCCATCTAGATGTATCATTTTTAAAAGAATCGACTATTCTATTTTTTTCCACCAAAGAAGATTCACCTTCTGCCTCCATACTAATCTTTTTTTTTCAACTAACCTTATCTTTTCGTTTGCTAGTTACTGTATTCAGCTTTATATGAGAATTTGCGCCATCTCGAGGGTGCTCTATATGAATAACTTTATCTTTTTGTATATTAGCAGGGGAGCTATCATGCTCAGCACTTACCAGCTGTAAAGATTCCTGGTTATTTTCTGAAATCTGATCAGAGATGCTAACAGATTTTATGATTCTACACCATTCCTCAGTCAGTTTAGGAGGCCTCTGATTATCAATAATTTTTTAATATGTCATTGCCCCTATATGATGTTTTTTACACATAATACGCCGAGTATCTGGAATATTATTCTGAGCATTTCTGATTTCTTCAATGGCTTTGGGTGACAAGCGGGTGGTATCTGATCTAAGAAATTTACGAGTACGGGTTAATATTTTTTACTTATAATTTGTTAATAATAAATTTGTATAATACCAATAAAAAACTTATAAAAAATTTATTTGGAATTGGTCTGATATTGGTCTGATATTAGATTGATATATATAGGAAATTTGCTTCCTTTATCACGTAGCTTGCTATAACCATGATCCAAATAAAAATAGGTTTGAGATATATATAGTTTAAATATCATATTTGTCTCAAACTGGTTTATTATTTGTTTAATATCGATTTGATTCTGATTCTCTTTCTCCACATTCGAAGGAAAAAAACATTTTTCTGATTTCTTTTTTTTTCTATTTTCAAATTTATGAGAAAATAGGTGAAATGATGGAACGAAAAAAGGGCAGAAAGTAGATGAACTTTGAATTAATTACTAAAATTTTTTTTTTCGAATTTATGAGAACAAAGGGGGTAAATTTATATAGCAAATATGCATATGCTAAATGAGATAAATGGTGAGGTAGCTCTAGTATCTGGCAATAAACTTGGGGATTCGCCATCTAATTGATATCTGCCCAGCCGAACAGAACTTGAGAATCAACTTACTTGTACAAAGCATGACCTCGATATTGCTTTAAGCTCGGGTATTCAGCTTGGTACTAGATGCAATCTCTTGATAAAAAACAATGAGAGCTTTTCAGAGCGTGTATGCCAGCTTGAAAATGAGGCAGGAGAACTCAAAAATCAGATTACTCACAAAGATATTTCTCTTACAAGTGCTAAAAGTGAGATCACTGCAAAATTGGAAGAGATACAGGCTCTCCGATTAAGAGTAAAAGAATTGGAGCAGAATCTTTTTTTAATACAGGATGAGTTATCAGAAATGGAATCTCTCAAGAATGAATCTGAACTAGAAAATACTAACCTATTTTTAGCAAAATTGGACTTAGAAAAAACTTTGTCTAGAGAAAGAGATGAATTGATACAGATAAAGGATAATTTAGTTTCAGCATGAAAAGCATTATCAGAGAAAGATTTTCTCTTTTAAGAAGCTAATGCTTGTTTAGCAGAGCAGATTTCGAAAGCATCCAGCGAGACCAATGAGGCGATTGGAGGTATTAGTGGACTGGAGAAAGGTAACGGTATCACTAGGCCTGAAACAACCTCAGTATCACCCAATTCCTTCTTTCAGCAGAATGCGGTCTTCATCATAATAATGATATTACTAATCATATACTTCCTATAGCATATATCCTCTTATATATATTCTTTTATTTCACTCCTCAATAAAGAAAAAAATATTCTGAATTATAAAATACCCTTAGATAGAAATCAGAGTTATGGATTCCCAATCTATCATACAAAAGAACCAAAAAAAAGAACTACCACCTATGAAACTTTACCTTATGGATATGGATGAGACCACAAAGCACAAATTATCCCGAAATATTGGATATCTAGCAATGTTATGGCCTTTCAGCATGATAGTTAGCGGAAGAAGTGGTACAGATAAGACCAATTTATTAGCAAACCTTGTTCTTGGAGATAAATGTGAATATATATATAAAAGACAAAGGGGAGGATCCAGATATATTAGATGTGATAATTTGATAGTTTGTGAATACCACCTGGATGAACCTAAATAGGCATTTGTTAGATATATGTATGGACTAATTGCAAGCGATTCCAAAGTGCCATATTATGAAAATATTACGTTTAGTTATATTTCACCTGAAAAAATCTCTAGTGTAAAATTATTTTCACCTGAGAGGAGCACCATAATCATTTTTGAGGATATATGTATTGCTCCCGAGTCTATCCAAAATCAAATTATTCCATTTTTTACACATGGGTGTCATCAAAATATTTCTCCATACTATGTTACTCAGAGTACCATTATGTACCAATTATTATTTGTGAAAACATCTCCCTTTTAGTAACATATAATAGGGGAAGCAGTTATCAAGATGTCTTCAAGATAGCTGGCCAATATACTGATGATGTAAAGGGCGCATCTATGGTTATTAACAGCTACCTCCACAAAGGTGAATTTGTTGTATTTGATCTCAGCAGGTCGGAAGATGATCCTCTCGCAATTTAACTAAGGTTTGATACTCCATTAAACCTGCAGAAAGAGATAGAGGCGAGGCAGAAGCGCAAGGAAAAAAGTGCCTCACCTAATGAATAGAATTAGTTAAATTGTAGATCCCCTATTTTCTCATAAATTCGAAAATAGAAAAAAAAAGTAATCAGAAAATTTTTTAGATAAAATTTCACAAAACTCTTCACTCCGAAAAAATTTATTTTTGAGGAGGGATGATTTGTTTGTTCACAAACTTCCAAAGCGCTTAATTATATTACTGACCATAGATGAGAAAATCATAAGTAAATATACACTTCATAGATTTTTATTTCACATTGACGGTGGACAACTATAAAAAAATAAATTATTATAATAAATATATAACGGCCTGCTTCGGCAGAGAATCTATAGTCCGGAAAATTCAGCGCACATACTCACAATTATTGTTCAAATCTGAGAAATCTATATTAATTTCTTTTTCTAGGGTATAAAGATATTTAGTTTCGAAATAGTTGATTTTTAGTGAATCGCATGGATATGATTTGCCATGCATTTTACACATGTAACGCGTATACTCTAATCTTCTAACAATTCTTTCATTATCAGATTCATTAATACGGTAATATTCGGAATTTGATAGCCACTTTAACATATAAGTCCATTCTGAATATTCAATGATTCTATAGCCTTGTCGATGTAATTCTATAAAAGCAAGTATATATGCTACAAAATTTAATCGTTCACGTAACTGATCTCTCTTTTTTTCTGTCTACTCATATAGAGTATAATGATCATATAGGCCATTTTGATGATATGCAGGTACATCTTTAGCTAGAATTTTTCAATCAATATACTATACATATTGATCATCAGGAATTCTTATATCGCGAGTAGGGTGCGAAATGGGCCGGGTCGGGTCGGGCTTTCTAAGACCCGAAACAGAGCCCGAAAAATTTTTTTAGGCCCAATTCAAGCTCGAGCCCGACAAAAAGCCTGTTAAACAAACTGGGCCAGGCCTTATTATAAATCAGGCTCAAGCCTGACAAAAAAGCCTGCTAAGCAAACCGGGCCGGTCTTTATTTTAAATTCGGCCCAAGCCCAGCCCGGCCCGTATTTCATATAGATTTTTGACTCTGATAGCAGAAGATGCCGTCAGAAATCGTATTAAAACCTTTTTTTAAGAGCCGATAGTATAGTGTTAAATACTGATAGCATGAATAATAATATATTCGAAATGTCACACAGTTGAAAATTTTTATTTAATGAAGTACAATATTTGTGAATGTATTTCAAA